AATAAAAAATTAAAAAAGTAAATGTGAACTGACTTGTTTTTTTTTGTATTTGCATTTGCATTTGCAAGCTTATATCTAGCAATGCTGAGAAAAAAAGTCAGAATTATGAGATATAAACTCAGAATTGCAAGAAAAGTCAGAATTATTAGATAAAAAGTTGCAATTAGCTTGTTTTTTTGTTTTTGTTTTTGTAACCCATGGTGGAAGCAAGCTTCCATAAACACCAGCTGAGACCAGCATACATTTCTGTGCCCCTCCATGCTGGTTCATGCATAATAGTACTGGCTTGGATCCTGATTGTTCACTGGCCAAAAATGCTGGTCTACCTGATTGACCAAGGAAGTCCTGCTGAGTAGACTGTGAAGAAGCTGGGTGGAGACACTAAAACATTAGCATTAAAAGCACAACATACATGTGACATACAGTATGCTTCTGACCAATATAATATCGCTCACTAGGTTGTGGAAAAGAGCTACCCCCACCCCGCTTTGACTGTAATGTCTATTTTGTGAATTTTTTCACTTGCATTTGTGCAGCGGCTGGTAAACACAGCTATTGACCTTCTTCTATCCAATGCCTCCAGAATCATTGGACGTCCTGGCAAATATCTCTACGTTATGGGGTCTTACCGAATGGAAGAGGTACATATCTAGCATTCAGCTTCCTCCTTTTAAGTGTGTGTCATTGGTGGTTGGTGCTATATTCAAGAGTATAAGCCATAAAATTGATTTCACAAAGATAAATGACGAATCTCATTGACCAACTGGTGTACACGTGTATATGTATAAGCAAAATCTATTCTTAACCACACGATATTCTTGGAGTCTTGTACCCACATCATCATATGAAAAATAACTTGGCAGATTGTCCTAGTTACCTCACTCTTGATGACTAACACTTTCGGAGGTGTGTAGCCAGTCAACTCCATAGTAACTGAGTGAAATCTCTCTCTGTTTCACCCTGCAGTGCGCCCATGCCGGCTGTTTGATGGAATTGTGCATTCAGCTCTGCATCACCATGCTTGGCAAACAGCTCATCCAGAATAACCTGTTTGAGATAGGCGTTCCGTGAGTAGCAAACACATGTGTAGATGAAGGAAATCTGATAAATTCCCACTATCCATTATAGGTGTGGTGTACATTTCTAGATGATTGCTTTAGGGAATTATTGTACTTTGACGAGAGCATTGTATGAGCCTTTTTTTTTTCTTCATGAAAAGAGTTTGCTGACCTTTTTTTGTGTCTTGCTTGCAAATACATATTATGTTTCTCTTGGACAAATGCAAATATACTGGATTGTAAGCACATCTCAGGCAAATGCCTCTGAAGGTATTACATGGTAAAAGAAATGCATGAGCAGATCCAAACAGAATCTCCAAAGTTTTTCCACATTTCCTGATTTTTGGGGAAAATGTGCAGAATCCAATGTGCAGAAGAGTCTGAGGTCACATGTCTCAGTTTCCGGGTCCAAGTGCTCCTTCAGATCCCAAAACCAACTCATGGTGTGCTGCACTACCCAAAAATTTCTATAGCAAAATCTTAGCTGGCCAAACAATGATTTCATTTTTATATTAAAATATTGGTCACCGGGATGTCATGAGATAGATAGGCTACTGTATATTGTGCCTGTGACGTGAGGTTCAAATTATTTAATATATGTTAAAAGAATACATGTACAACAATACAAAATATTCATCACATCCCAAAGTTTTTAAATCCGCTCACTGATGTGTGTCTTATTTTGTGTAATATTTGTGTAATTTATTTATTTTATTTTCTGCTTCATCTTATGGATCTCTTTACCCAATTAACATTCCTTATTATCTATTTTATCTTTGATTCCATATGATCTCTGTAGACACACAGAAATGTTATGAGAATTTAACATAGTGGGCTTTAATATTTTAAGCTAGCCATTAATAGTTTATATTATTAAGTATAATTATAAACACATAATTAGTGGTTGTTTCATTGAGGAATTAATCAGTGTTGTGAAAGCTCTATTTCATTCCCATGAGTTTGTGAGCTTGACATGTCCCTTCTCAGTCACCGTATTTAGCCAAAGTACAAATATTTAAGAAATTATTGCTGATGGTTACTAACTATATCATTATATCAATGCATATAAATGTAAATATATATGCATTGATAAATAAAAAATTTGTCATTTTCAATAATGAATTTACTCACCCTTATGTTGTTTCAAAACTGTGTGAGTTTTGAATATTTTGAAGAATTTTCCAAAACTATATGGTCACCAACATTCTTAAACGTATGAGTAAATGGTGACAGAATTTTTGTTTTTGGGTCAACCATTCCTTTATTTAACTTCATTCTGCATTGTTTTTAATCAACTTGCTGCTCGGTTGAAATGATTGTTTCTCTGATTGCTCTAAAAGGGTTTAAGAAGCATTTTTTTTCAAATATCTAATCATTATAGTTTACATGTAGTTTTAGGTGTAGTTATGCTCTCATTAAGTAGAGAGAGAGAGAGTGTGTGTGTGTGTGTATGTAATACAGTGTATGTTGTAAACAGGGCAAAAAAATACAGATATCCAATTTAGGTAAATCCAATTAACCAAAATATTGAGTAAACAAACACGGATGGGTGGTTCACAGCAACACTGTGAATCATGGCTGTTCGGATGTACATGAGCACATCATGCTTCAGTTCACTAAGTTAGTTATATGCAAAATCCACAGTGATTATTAATGTATCTGTGCCACAGGAAACTGAAGAAAATGCTCCGACAACGCAAGATAGACAAAAAGCATCAGGAAGAGCTGAACAAAACGCTTCATCGTCACGAGAAGGACCACTTCCTTGGGCCCTTTGTCGGACTCAACCCAGAGTACATGGAAATGAGTGAGTCACTACACACTTCGCGCCCACACACACACACACACATACAGACGTAGAAACATTTGTTTGTATTCTCTCCTGGTCCTGCTGGCTGTTTTCCGCACTCTTGTAGGAACACGACATCATTAAAAATGTATTGTAATTACAATTTCCGATTATGAGTGATTAAATTCACACTGTCCACAACCGCTAATTGAAATGTTTAAACACAAGTAGACAGATTTATACACCTCATCTGTTCAAAGCACTGTTATATGAGAGTAATTCAAGCCCCTAGACGGCGTGCACAGTAAACAGGGTAAACGCACGTCCGTTCTGTGAAGGATCTGCAGTGCTCCTCCTCTCCTCTCATCTCAGCTATAGCGTGGGATGGACTTCTGCTAAGAGAGAGGCATTATGAGTCCAAAGGGGGGCTGGCAGAGCAGCGTGAGATTATGAGCTTTGGTTCTGGCTTGAATTCATTAATAACATCCCACCCCCTCATCTACCATCCTCCATCTATATCTTCTATCCTTCTATCTCTCTCTCTCTGTTTCTCCTGTCCCATTCTTCCATCTCTGAGTGTGGCACTACCCAATCTCCTCCTGAGACCCTAAACTAGTAACATTCCGGAGCATCAGCTCAAAATCACATAAAAAAGACAATCCAGGAAGGACCAAGAAGGATTTACATTTTTGTGAATTACTCTGTAGGCGATTAGATTTTTAATGTCTTAAAGGGGTCATATGACGTTGCTAAATAATAACATTATTTTGTGTATTTGGTGTAATGAAATGTGATCGGAGAAATGACAAACAACAAGCGCTACTCTACACTGCTCAAAACTCGCGTTTGAATCATCAGTGGCAAATTCTTTAAATATGAAAACGTACTTACAGGCTGTGAGTCAGCATTATTGGTCAGTATCATAGACTGTATAGGGTCAGCATGCGCAACATTTGGGCGGTGTTATGCAAATCTTCCCACAAAGTGATGTAGACTTGTGGGGGCGTGTTTAAACAAGGCGTTTTAGGTAGGCGTGGTCATACTTTTATCATATGACGTGATTTCATGTTTTCCGTTGTCTTTGGACTGTTACAAGCTGTTTGTGCATATATAAGATCCGTAAAGTTGCAAAGATTACAGTCTCAAACCCAATGAGATATTCTTTTTAAAAATGAAGACTCATCCACGCCTTCCTCATTCAAACACACCCCCACAAATCTACGTCACCGCGGGGGAAGATTTTTCGGCCAATCACAGTGCACTGGATAGCTGGCCAATCAGAGCACACCGCGCTTTTCTGAACGATGAGCTTTGTAAAAATTGACGTGTTTCAGAAAAAGACGGGGCAGAGAGAGGAGCAACAATAATGTACTGTATGTGGAAAATAATGTTTTTTTTAAACTGCGTAAACGCATTGCATTACACCAAATACACAAAATAAAGTTCTTTTTAGCAATGTCATATGACCTATTTAAGACCAAGTTTCCCAGCATACCAACGTCTGATGTATTTGATGTGATAAGATGTTCTCAGTAATTCTGCGAGTTGTGCTTCAGTGGAACCTTCGATGGAAGATTGTTTTGTGTTTTTGTTTCTTTTTCTTGTCTAGTCATTCAGTTTGGGATGGTGACCTTGTTTGTGGCCTCCTTTCCGCTGGCTCCCCTTTTTGCTCTACTGAACAACGTCATTGAGATCCGTCTTGATGCCAAAAAGTTTGTCACGGAGCTGAGAAGGCCGATTGCTGTAAGAGCAAAGGACATTGGTCGGTATCTAAACACTGATTTTCAGCACATTAAATGATCTTTATTGAGATGAGATGCAATGTTTATTCACATAAGTATAGCATTCCTGTAGCTCAAACAAGGGAAAGCATGAACTGGTAAAATGTACAAGTTGAATGCAAAGTAAGTCATTTTGGATAAAAGTTTCTGCCAAATGTATAAATGTAAATGTACATAATAAGACACTACAGATTATATATACTCTGAAATTTAGGATATGTAAGAAAAAAAAAAGTAAGTTTTATAGGATTTTTTAATAGAAACTTTTTTTATATCCTGTTATATATTTAAGCAACATCACACAAGCAAGTGACCCGTTTTTCCAAATATTATCACAATTACAAAAGTGGCATTCATTTTATACAGAAGCTGAATAAAGATTGTCTTTTTCGTTAATATGAAGTGATATTTCAACAAAAGTAGTTACAAACAAAGCCACAGCAGAAACGTTGCGTATCTCCACAAGCAACTACATTTTTCAAGCATTTCGTTACTAACTACAGATTATATATACTCTGAAATTTAGGATATGTAAGAAAAAAAGGCCTTGTGTAAGTTTTATAGGATTTTTTAATAGAAACTTTTTTTATATCCTGTTATATATTTAAGCAACATCACACAAGCAAGTGACCCGTTTTTCCAAATATTATCACAATTACAAAAGTGGCATTCATTTTATACAGAAGCTGAATAAAGATTGTCTTTTTCGTTAATATGAAGTGATATTTCAACAAAAGTAGTTACAAACAAAGCCACAGCAGAAACGTTGCGTATCTCCACAAGCAACTACATTTTTCAAGCATTTCGTTACTAAATGAAGCCGTGTTTTTGCATTTAGTTAAGTGAATGATTCAATGACTCCTTCATAAAGACCCATTCACTTGCTTTGTACCTGAACAAATCAGTAATTTTGAACGGATGGCTTGAATGTATGATTCAATGATTCACTCATTAAGATTCTTTAGTGACACCAAATGGCAGTCTTACAGTAGTGTTAAAGAAAATGTAAAGTATTGTTTCATTTTATTCACAATTATATATTTCAAACATTAATCTCACAATATTATTTGTGCATTTACGGCATGTTCTGTGCCTCTTCTGCCGTGCTAAGACAGATGATTTAATTTAAATGGTAACAGCCATAGTTTAATGATATTCTAACTAAATTTATTGATTACATTTAAGAATTTTATATAAAAGTTGACAAATATGTTTAATGTGGTTAGAAAACAAGTTGCCCTTATAAAGGTAAAAAAAGCCCCTGGAAATCAAATTAAGAGGTAAAATTGGACACTTTAATGGAAAGGTTCCTTTCTGTTACTGATTTGGCCTTTCAGATGCAAAGGCCTGATGTCACTCTAAAGTGATTTCTTGCATAACGTATTTCCAAAATAATGTATTGTGTCACCAGGAAATATTGGCTCTGAAAGATTCTTGAAATGGTTATTTCTGGTCATCTGCTCATCTTTGGAGGAGACAGGGCATGTATTGACTGTAGGTGGCTATCTGTGTTTAAACCCATTTGTTAAAACAACTAAAATTCTAACATCAACAACAATATCATATTTTTATAATAGCTAATGCATACAGTAACACGGTAACACTGACAAACATTTAGGCAAAAATCAACTACAGTATAAAGGTAGATTTTAACTGAACGTTTGATCATGTCAGGTCAATGCATATTGATAACCCATATTGATATCGGGGCAAGCTGTCAATGTAACGATTTGCCCCATAAGTTATACATCACTGCTAGCAAATTCTTGATGCGTATGTATTTATTCATTATGCCAACATGCCTTGTGTTGTGACAGCATGGCCTGCTCTGGGGGTTAGTGTAGGTCAACATGTGGTAAAATAAACTGTCTTAATTTTCTGGTCAAGAATGGAAATGTTAATTCGCTTACTTAGGAAGTGGGTCAATTTAGTGAAAGTGAAATGTGGCCAAGTATGGTGACCCATACTAGGAATTAGTGCTCTGCATTTATCCCATCCAAAGTGCACACACACACAGCAGTGAACACACACACACCGTGAACACACACCCGGAGCAGTGGGCAGCCATTTATGCTGCGGCGCCCGGGGAGCAGTTGGGGGTTCGGTGCCTTGCTTAAGGGCTCCTCAGTCGTGGTATTGAAGGTGGGAGAGAGCGCTGTACATTCACTCCCCCCCACCTACAATCCCTGCCGGTACGAGACTCGAACCCGCAACCTTTGGGTTACGAGTCCGACTCTCTGACCATTAGGCCATGACTTCCCCCCAAAAAATGCATGGAGTGGACGGAGCCAGACTCCAGACTCCCTGGCTCCAGACTACACTTGCTCTTAGCCAAAAGGCCGAGAAGCGATCTTGTAGCCAAGCCTGAAGGTCTTTGTCTATGTATACACAAACATTTAAAATTGTCTTAATTTTGAGGAAGAGAAGAGGGCAGATGCATGTTTTCATTGCAATACTCTGAAAAATCTATAAAATGACAAGCATTTATCACCACCTAGTGGTAATATATGGTGATAAGTGCCTTTATTGCTGAATCTCCTGTCAAGAACATGGTGAAATCAAAAGAAAAATATTGAAATAAAACATTGAAATATAATTTTGTCTTATATTTTGATTTAAGAGTATTATTATATTTATTAAGATTTCTTTTTTCCAGAAGAAAATAAATTGTATTTTTATTTATTTATTTACTTATTTTCATGACTATTATGAATTGACGTTCAGTGTAACACAGCAGTGTTTAGTCACTGTAAATATAGCAACATTTAAAAATCACATCATGTGTAATCTAATGTCTCTTGTCTTTGTTTCGGTTTCTTTGTCTCCAGGAATCTGGTACACTCTTCTCAGAGGAATCAGTAAAGTGGCCGTCATTGTTAATGTAGGTTTAAATTCTATGTGTTTGTTCTGAAACAAATAAGAGCTGTACCTGTTGTACTGTGATGTACCTGCTTTGTATATTCTATGAAGTTGTATTTCTCAACATTGATATTATGAGTGCCATTATTAGTATTAGTAATTATTAGTGGCATTTGTTTTTCTCCTTCAATATAAGTCCTACTCATTCTGTAAAATGTATGCTGCGAACATAAATGAATCATCCCACCTATTGAGCAAGAGGTGTGCTATGACTTTTCTAAGCGATCTGACTGATGATTTTCAGCTGGTGGATGATAAAACAGGTGAAAGAAATCCCATAGCCATTGAACTCAAGCCATTATTAGGAACCAGAATATGATAGAAACACAGGGCCAGTTAGCAAACACCCAGAACACCCGAGCAAACAAATGCATAGAAACTCATTAGCAAGGTTTGGCGAAGGCTGATCCTCCTGTGTCACTCTCCAGGCGTTTGTGATCTCATTCACCTCTGACTTCATCCCACGCCTGGTCTATCAGCACATGTACAGTGCAGACGGGACTCTTCATGGCTTTGTCAATCACACCCTTTCATACTTCAATGTTAGTCACTTCCAGCCTGGCACAGAGCCCATGAAGCCAATGCACCTGGGATACAAAGTGGAGGTTTGCAGGTACTTGGTTTGATTTGCACTAAAGAGTCTTTCTTTTGTGCGTCTGGCTGATTTTTCTAATGTGGTGTATGACTGTGTATTATAATCATAATGTTTACATTATCCACAGATATAAAGATTACAGGGACCCTCCATGGTCTGCCACGCCATATGAGTTCTCAAGAGAATTCTGGGCCATTCTGGCGGCTCGATTAGCTTTTGTCATTGTCTTTCAGGTCGGTCAAAACCTAATTAATAAAATATCAACTTTTTTAAAATTTTTGATCAATGATGAATTTTACAAAGAAATTTCCAGGTCATCATTTCAACTATAATAATAATAATAATAATAATAATAATCACCATTTGTTGTTGCTGTTGTTTAATTAGAAAAAAGAAAATTTAATTTAATTTCAGTTATTAAAATGCTCCTAAATCGTAATTCTCACATTATTACAGTAATACACCAAAACAGCATCGTGTCCAGATGCCTATTTTAATCATTTGTGACCATTATTAAAATTGGTATAAATTAATTTTAACTACTACCATGATTAGCATACATCTATACTATACTAATGTATTATATTATATGTTTGTTATTATATTAATATATAAATATATTACTAAAGATGACAAACACACACACACATATACGTATATAATTTTGTGCTTTTGTCATTTTTATTAGTTGTTTTTTTTAATATTTCTATTTATCTTTTAATTGAAATTTCGGTAATTTCACTGAAACTTTTTTTTTTTTTTCAGTTATTTGCCCAAGCAACATTTCTTTTAAAGGGGTCATATGACGTTGCTAAAAATTAACATTATTTTGTGTATTTGGTGTAATGAACTGTGTTTATGCGGTTTAAGGTAAAAAAAACACATTATTTTCCACATACTGTACATTATTGTTTCTCCTCTATGCCCCGCCTTTCTGAAACGTGTTGATTTTTACAAAGCTCATCGGTCTGAAAAGCGAGGTGTGTTCTGATTGGCCAGCTATCCAGTGCATTGTGATTGGCTGAATACCTCAAGCGTGTGACAGAAATGTTACGCCACTTACCATACTGTGATGCCGTGTTTATTTGGTTTGAACTGTTCTGGAACAGTGTTGTAAATATAACTTAACCACTGATTTCTAGGTGTGTCCTCTTGTGGAAGATCAAACAAAGTAGTTTGGCTTTCACAACGAAACACACAGCGACTTCACGACATGGCGGCAACAATACTACAGCCAGAATCAAAGTACTTTCTTTCTTTGCGTGAACATTTGTGCGGCGTTATGCAAATCTTCCCACATAGTGACGTAGACATGTGGGGGCGTGTTTAAACGAGGCGTTTTAGGTAGGCGTGGTTGACTCTTAACTTTGATAAAGAATATCTCTTTGGATTTGAGACTTTAGTCTTTGCAACTTTAGGGATCTTATCTATTCACGAACAGCTTGTAACACTCCAAAGAGAAAAGAAAAGTTGAAATCGCATCATATGACCCCTTTAAGTGAAGTTGAATAGTTTTAGTTGTTTTAACAGCAATAACATCTTGACCTTGATATACTTACAAAGGCACTTTACAATGTAATAGTATTATTTTTTTCTGATTACAGTAAATATACCTAATTGTGATGATGTAATTATCAAAATATAAATAACTGAACAAAATTGAAGGCATTGGTTTTTACTTAAATTGTTTTAATTTTAATTTCCCTGTTTTTTTCTTTCTTCTATTTTTAATAATTTTCCATGAGAGTCACTTTAACACAAATGTCACTTCTCTCCTGTCTCTCTGTACAGAATGTGGTAATGCTGATGAGCGACTTTGTGGATTGGCTGATCCCAGACATTCCCAAGGACATCAGCATTCAGATACACAAGGAGAGGAACCTCGTCGTTGAGTTGTTCATGAAAGAAGAACGGGGCAAGAAATACAGGAATACCATCGGTGACCCAAGCCCCCAGCCGCTCTGCTCGCATCCCAGCTCACAAGCTTAGCCCAGCGCTCGCTCTGATCCCAGTGCTGCGAGGGAAGCAGTAACACGGTCCATTCCAGGGCCTGTTCCTCACTCAGCTCTGTCTCCTGCTCAAACAGAACAGAAAGCCTGTAGAGGACTGGCCTGTCCTGGAGGACCACTGCTGTAAGGATCAATAATGTTGCAAAGATTGTTAACTGACTGCCGCCTCATTGGTATACCAGAAAAAATATTTCTTTTTTTCTTTTGTCTGTTACTGAATTAAGCACTCTCTTGGATCTTTTTCTATCAGCTATATGCAATTTCTGGAGGCAGGTGTGTTTGGAAAGAGAGCTGTAGGGTTTGTATCGTTTTATCTGTTGACTGATGAATATTGTATGTAGTTTTGTGAAGCATCGCTGCTTTAGCATTAATAGACAGCTAATGAGCATTTTATTTGGAACTACAATGCTTTTATATGAATTTTAACATGAAAATGTAACATTTATGTTTTCGATATGGATAGGATTGATCTGAACCAACTCGTTTAAAGTGCTTTTTAAATGATTTAATATTAGACATTTAATTCAGAATATTTCTGGTCAAGTGAATTAGCAGCTATCAATATCATGCCGTTTCCTTTTTAGGCACTAAGTAGTTCTGTTCTATCATGGTAATGATTGTGTCTGTTTAGCCTTTAGCTGTCTATATATCAAATATAGACATAAAACACTGCAAATTAATCCAAATAACTACAATCCTCAATCTTGGTCTTTTTTTTAGTATTCTAGAATTTCTGTTATATGCGGTGGAGTGCTTTTTACAGGATGTAGGTTGATCTCGGGGATTTTTGGCAGAATGCAAGTGCTTGGTTTTTAGGTAGTGCGTCTGAAAATGCTATCAAGCTGTGCTGAGAAAGGGTACTCTGTATATAAACCCATGACGTTCAAGAGGCCTTAATATTCATGAAAATGTCATATGGACAGAGATTTGTGTCTGTTTATCTGAATGTTTTCTCTCTCGTCTTGATTTGTGATGTTCCAACGATGATGGAAACAATAGGCTATATCTTGGTATGTTGCATGTGTCTTCCATTCATAGAAATCGTGACAAATAAAAGAGTGGTTTTAATTCAAATTAATATAATATTAACATAAAATATATGATTTCAGTCTTAAGATATACTGTTTAGACATATGGCAATGTTTTTTTTTCTTTCCCCCTTTTTTTTTGATAAACTGTAATTATTACACAAAACTGTATTTCCTCAATTTTTTTCTTTTTTTATATATATACATGCACGCCCCAAAAGGCCTTAGTTCTACTATAAATGTAGGCTACAATGTAAACCCATTTTTAGACTGTTACGTCATCCACATACTGTTTAGCTCTGTGAAAGAAACCTTTAAATGTCTTGTCATTGTGGCGTTTCAGTGTCTCAAACTGCTAATGGGAGGTTATGACTGTACTTTGGCTTTTGAATTATGTTTCTAAAATAAATATGTCATACATTTGGTATGTATAGCCTACATTTATTGACTCTTGTAGACCAATCACCTGTTGTTTGGAGATGAAACTCACTGAATTCATATTTGCTGCTTGTGTCCACAGAGTGCTCCCCTTTGGGTTAAATAAAGAAGGAGGAGCGATATAATAGGAAGTAGGTAATTTCAGTTCCCTCCCTCAGTGTCGCGAAATTCGATTCATTTTGCGAATCGATTCTTTTGAATCAGTCATCAGTTGAATCATTTACATCTCTGGGAAAAAAATGCGCGTGTGTTTTAAAGCTACTTCTTAAAAAAACACCTCAGTTTCGTATGTGTGTTGGTCATACAATCATAGCACTGTCCAGTGTTCCTGCTGTTCGGCTATTACGTTATTTTTCCCCGGCTCAGTCCAAATGAACTTGTTCAACAGCTCAAATCATTAGTTTTCAGAAAATACGAATAAAAGGCGGTTTAGTTCTGAATTCTTACAATCATTTTGGTACTACTTTTAGAACTTTGAACCTCTAACGTTAACAAATCCGAGAGTTTTTGACTCGAGAACCGCTCTCAGACTCGTTCAGTCCGGTTCACGAATGAATCAGAATCAGACCTGATTCGTGAACTGAGAACATTACAAACAATCGACTCGGACCCCGCTAGTAAGGAACCCGTCGATTCATTATTACGACAAGTTGTTGGCGGGTGTCCAGTGTTGCCAACTTAGCAATTTTGTTGCTAAATTTAGCAACTTTTCACACTACCCTAGCAACAAATTGAGCTATTTTATAAATTGTATTTGGCTACTTTTAGCAACTTTTGATAAGTGGCTCAAACAATAAAAAGGCACACATTTTCCATCTAAATTTCACAAAAAGAGGAAACCAAAGATGCCTAGCAGTGCACACATCACGTGAATTAAGTTACTGCTATTTGCAATTGTTCAATTTGATAATAATAATTGAATAATTGTTAATTTATGATACACCTCGTTAGTAGCTTGTACCTGTGATTGTTGATCAGTTAGTACACTGTAAGAAAAATATCTAAAAAAAAATGGAAAAGGTACTAATAATTTTCCAGGACGTTATCCATCATCCATTGTGTGACCCGAAACACAAAATACAATGCGTAATTTAAAATGCAGGTAAATACCTGTGAATCATTTTCTTAAGAGTGTAGCATACTGATTACTAATACACAGCTTAAAACTATAATTGTTCCGAATGCGTAGTTTTACTAGTTCACTAGCTAATAAAAACAACTTGTAATCGTTCAAAACTGTGTAAGTGTTCAATAATTCAATGTTGTATATACAAAAAGTTATTTATGTTTTAACATTACATTATGCATTTATATTATTTTACGAACAAATCCAAATGAACATATACAAATATATATTTTTTGAATGTAGTGACACAATTTTGCGTCGTGATTACGTAATGACGTCATCACGCAATGACATCACAGCGTCATTTAGCAACTTTCGGCAACAAATCGATCTTCCTTTAGCAACTTCCCCTGAAAGTTAGCTGGCAACACTGCGGGTGTCATTATTGGTTTCTAGCTGACCCACCAACGCAGTGGAGCTGGGTTAGTTGTAGGACACAAGGGAGGGGGTTTTCACGATGCTCTGCTAACGTGTGAGAGCCAGAGCTGAAAGCGAAAGCTGCGGTAGTGCTGTACTCGTGTTAGCATTCAAACACATCATGGATAACCGCAGATTTAGAACCATGTTACTAGCGATCTCTGATAAACTTACTGAAGACAATGTGAGAAGTCTAAAGTTTCTGTGCCCAGAAGTCGGGAAGAAAAAGCTTGAGAAAGTCAATAAGGGGATCGATCTTTTCGAGTGCTTGATCGAAAGAGCCGCAGTTGCAGCTGATGACACCGAGCTTCTGCGAAAACATCTCCGCCAGATCGGCCAGACAGTTCTTCTGAACATAATCGAGGAGTATGAGAGAGGAGCGACGGGAAGCCCTCCCGATGTAACGTTACCAGACGCAAAAGAGCGAGGTTTGTATGCTTTTACTGAACTCTTGCGTTTCGTGTCACACTGAGGCTGTTCACTGACAGCAAAAAGTGGATCATAAGACAGCTGCATATCGATATTTTTGCTCCACACTCGAAATGTCTCTTATTTGTAAGTGAAACGATGACTTGGGGCAGGTTGAGGTATAGTTCCTATGGTTTTGACCAAATGTATTCTGTGGTTTTGTACCGCTGTGTCTCTGAGGCGATGTTTACTCCGTAGAGCTGGCTCTTTCGTCTTATCACTAATATCATGTGAAATGCAAGCTAACAAGCCGGTTTAACATTTATTCCTTTACACGAACTTGTATTTTAGTAGTACTTTTTAAAGCACTGTCCTGTAATACAATAGTATCCTGACTTGTATCTTTTTTCACTAATATTTGTTTGTTATACTCATTAGATACTTACTTACTATCCCAAAATGTTCCATTCTTCTATTACATAAATGGTAACAAATTGCTTATTTTTTTCTCTCTTGATTCTAATTATGGTGTTAATTATAATTTATGGTCTCATAATAATAATAATACTATTAAGCCTGTTTCATATGCCGGTACAAATTTCTAAGGCCTTTAAACTATTAACGCAGCTAATCATAACTGTGTTGAAAAACCTGTTGTACACAGTCTACTACATGCTTCTGTCGGCTGATTGATAGTATATACTTGTTTAGTAAGTAAAAGGCCTTTAGGTCGAGGTCTTTTTGCTGTAAAATGTTAAGTTATATAAATCTGAGTTATATTGTTATTAAGGTGAATATTTATTGGACTGAAGCTGGTTTACTTATCGAAACAAACATTTAAAAAAAAAAAACATGTTAAAGGGGTCATATGATGCTGCTAAAAAGAACATTATTTTGTGTATTTGGTGTAATGAAATGTGTTTATGCGGTTTAAGGTTCAAAAAACACATTATTTTCCACATACTGTACATTATTGTTTCTCCTCTATGCCCCGCCTTTCTGAAACGTGTCGATTTTTACAAAGCTCATCGGTCTGAAAAGCGAGGTGTGCTGTGATTGGCCAGCTATCCAATGCGTTGTGATTGGCCGAATACCTCAAGCGTGAGACGGAAATGTTACGCCCCTCACCATATTGTGATGCCGTGTCCCGGTCGGAGCGACGAGACAAAAACATTAAAACCCATTATAAACGAGGTATTTGTTGCATCCAGTGGAGACATAATTATGGATTATAATGACTTCTACTGTCACGTAAACATAAAACCATGCCTGCATTTGTGATCGGAGAAATGACAAACAACAAAAAGTTACGCCTTCTTTCTTTGCGTGAACATTTGGGCGGCGTTATGCAAATCTTCCCACATAGTGATGTAGACATGTGGGGGCGTGTTAGAACGAGCCGTTTTAGGTAGGTGTGGTTAACTCTTAACTTTTATAAAGAATATCTCTTTGAATTTGAGACTTTAGTCTTTGCAACTTTACAGATCTTCTTTATGCACCAAGAGCTTGAAACACTCCAAAGAGAAAGGAAAAATTGAAATTGCGTCATATAACCCCTTTAAAATGTAAGTATCAAAAATGAAACAAGACGCTTTTGAGGTTTTTTTTTGTACATAACTTAGGCTAATCATTATTATATTGCATTGCATTATATATTTTGCCCCCACAATAAAAACTACAGAGCTTTGATCATAAAAATAAGCATTTAAATATCATCTTACTAAGACATATCATTGGGAGATCCAGAGTGACAACTGATATTTATATGCATTTTATGCAAGTAGTCTGGTATACTTTTATAGAAAGTAATTCTATAAAAGTATATAGCATTTATATTCTATATACTTAGAATATAGAATATAAATTCTATAAAAAAATAGAATCTAAAAATCAAAAAATAAAAATTAGATTTACATTAGAATCTATGAGAATTTTGTCTTACTTTTTGGCCCTATGAATAACAACATCTACACCAAATAGCATATTGTTGTTACGTATTTTTTTTTAATTTTTTTTCATATTTTGTACCAAATTTTTTTTTATTTTTTTGTCATATGTCAGACATTACAGGGTTAAAGATGTACACAAAACTAGTTAAATGAAATAATTTTACCCACAAATCACTAAATTATTTAAAAATTTAAAAACTGTATTGTGAAAAATGTAACAAACATAGGAGGTAAGACATTTTTATTTTTTGTGATGCACATAGTAATCAGCCTTTGATGTCATAGCGGTCAAATAATGCTGATTATGTTGATAAGTATTTCCCCAAAAAAGTATCTAGAATCTCAGGCCAGGGGGTGCTTACACAACACCGTTTTCAACTAAAACCAGAAAACGCATGTGCTTTGGTCCGTCATTTAAACGACTTCTGCATTTTGGGGGACTGGAAAACGCAAACCTATGAAAAGTGCAAGTTTTGGAAAATGATACTTTTTTTTTTTTTTTTTTTTTCATATTTTGTACCAAATTTTTTTTAATTTTTTTGTCATATGTCAGACATTACAGGGTTAAAGATGTACACAAAACTAGTTAAATGAAATAATTTTACCCACAAATCACTAAATTATTTAAAAATGTAAAAACTGTATTGTGAAAAATGTAACAAACATAGGAGGTAAGACATTTTTATTTTTTGTGATGCACATAGTAATCAGCCTTTGATGTCATAGCGGTCAAATAATGCTGATTATGTTGATAAGTATTTCCCCAAAAAAGTATCTAGAATCTCAGGCCAGGGGGTGCTTACACAACACCGTTTTCAACTAAAACCAGAAAACGCATGTGCTTTGGTCCGTCATTTAAACGACTTCTGCATTTTGGGGGACTGGAAAACGCAAACCTATGAAAAGTGCAAGTTTTGGAAAATGATACTGTTATTGTCTCCATGTAAACTACCAAAAAAAGTGCGTGTTACGAGATCAGTCTATATAGGTATGTGTGCCGGTGTGGAGTGTTTCTTTACAAAGTGACATCGCCAGCTACTGGCCTGGCATGCATAATACAGTGGTTTTGGTTGTTTTTGTGCATCCGTGTGAACGAGGATCGTTTTAACAGTGTCGTCGTCTGTATGCGAAACTTTTCAAAAACGTTTTCCAAATTTAGTATAACATTCCCTTGTAAATGTAACCTTACAGTAGTACAAAATAGTGGTCAACCGATATATCGCCAAGGCCGATATAACGGCCGATATTTGGCATTTTTTTTAAATATCGGAATCGGCTGATAAGTTTTCCTGTTTGGCCGATGCATTCGTGGCGGGACATTTATTTTGACGGTGCTGAGAACGGCAGCACCTGAGCACATAGTGCTCTCATTCTCCCTCTTGTTCGCTCTTCGCTGTTGTCAATAATCAGATAGAACGGTTAAACAAAGGAATTAAAATGTATACAAAAGTATCATAACGATTGCTTTTATATTATTAGTAATAGAAAGGAAAACATTATAATACTTTCTTGTTTGCCGTCAGCATTCAGCAAATATGCATTTATATCATTTAAACAAATCTTTGAATGACTAATGAACATTTAATTTTTCAAACCTTTCAAACTTAGTCGGATCCAGCTGTGAGATCTTGTGAAGTGTGCATTTGTATTCTGCATGATCGCGTGTTCTCTGCGTGACGGTCGGTCCGTGCGAATTAAATGCAAACAGGAGGAAAGTTTAGCTTCACTGGAGACACGCGATCAACAAACTTAAAACTCATGATTTCTAATTATGCTGCGCTTTATGCATTTGCCCACTGCCATATTTGTAATTTTCACTGTGTGCTGTATGTAAAATAAGTGTTACCTTGGCTTTATTTGAAAAAATATGATTCCCAAATCCCAACACAAACTTCCCAGAATACTGAGTGCCCTGTTGGTTACAGTGTTTACTTTTTAATTATATTTTTTATTAAATATTTATTTATTTGTGAAAAATACTTTGTCACCTAAAGTATGTTTATTTAACACATTTATTTTTAATCCATTTTCAAATGATTTCTTAAATATGAATTAAAATAAATAAAATTATATCGGCCACCCTGCTTTCCAAGATATCGGCTTCGGCTGTCAAAAAAAACAATATCGGTCGATCACTAGTACAAAGTATACACGTCATCACATTCAGTAACACAATATGAAACCAAAGTGGCATTTATTTTAAAGAAAGATGAACTACAGCGAAGCTAGTTCTGAGAAAAGGTCTTGTATCATTTGTTTGCAATGCTGCTTGGTTTTCTTATGCAGTGAACTCCATACATTGTTGCTTTAGTGTCCAAATGCAGTGACTAAACAATCCAAATCTGCCCTGCAAAGAACCACTCAAAGGTTTTCATTCTACAAGAGTTTTATTCAGATTCTAATCAAATTCAAATGCTTTCCATCTCGCTCTCTTTTCTTTGTTTTAGAAAAAATAAACATTGCAACTGAAGTAATTGTTGAACGTTTGGGTAGAAAGTGGCGTCAAGTTGGAAGAAAGCTTGGACTTCAGGACACTCAGCTGGATGGCATACAGGAGAAGCACAGCCGGGACCTGGAGGAGCAGGTGAGGGAGCTCATCAGACAGTGGATGAAGATGAGGAGAGAAGATGCCAGAGTGGAGGATCTCCTCAAAGCTCTGCGGGACTGCAGACAGAACCTCACTGCTGATCTTGTGGAGAAAGAGCTCGGTGCACATTGAAAATCACCACCGTTCTATTATAAAACGACAGAACTCTGGGATTAATAATGTGAATTTCTTTTTGAAGAGCAAATGAACTGAATTAAATTGTTTACAGATCTTTCGGAATTAATTGTACACAGCCTTGTTAAATATTGATTGGAGGAAATGTTAGATAATATATTTTACATTTGTGATGATAATGCAGGGCATGAAAATGAAATATACTGAATAAGTGTCCTATACGTATTGTTCTCAGTCACCTTTGCCTTTGCAAAACAAGGATTTTTCAGATTTTACTGAACATACTCCTAAAACAACACTATTCTTCTGTTTGTCTAAGGATGTATGATACTTACAAAGGAATAAAGGGACAGTGATATGTGATTATCATTGATTAACTGTTTGATAAAGCACATTTTGAGCCATAACTTTTTCTTATTCTATACTTCATAGTATAGAAACGCTAAATCACAAAAAGACAAGCTTATTACTCAGAAGAGTTCAGTTTTCACTCTCAAACTGCTTCACAGAGAGGCATGTGTTCAACATGTTTCAGCATGGAGTCCCCTGACATGTCTCAGCTCCACCAGAAAGATTTCTGGAGATTGCATTATTTGGGAACACCGGTTGTACAGGTTGGTATAGGGACCACTGATGCCAGTGGTTTCTACAATCTACTTAAGGTTTGGATTACACTACATTTTTTTTTACAAATCTGAACAAATATTAAAACTAGGAATCATGAACAAATATTAAAACTAGGAATCATGCATTTGCCGAAAACGTCCTCATATGCTAAACGACTGAACACAACAAACTCGCACAGAAGCACACGTCGTTGCTGGCAGACAAATGAAAACTAAAATATGTGAAAATTTTATGTTTGATATTCTCAGACCGGACAGGTTCACGGTTATTTTTTTCCTCCAAAAAAAAAAATAAAAAATTTTGAATCTGTGTCCGTCCTACACATGATTTTCAGTGAAATCTGTCAACTCAAGACTGTCCAAAATCTCCAGACTGCAAAAGCGGACAATAATTCATTCAGCGTTTTTAGGTTTATGATGATTTGTCAGTGTGTACATCTATGCATGTGCACAGCAATGGTAATCTTTAATTAATCTCTAGCATTACAATAAATTTGTTAATAACCCCTAAATTTTAAAAAGCAACAAAATTTGCAATGCGGCAGTGTTTGAGCTCAATCGTCTTCTCCTTTGAAAAATTATATTGTTATTTTAAGTGTATAAGATTTGTAATAAATATCACCATCCATGGTTTTTTTCCATGATAAATCACAGTTCAGCTTATTTTTTTAACGATTTATTTTTGCAGTTCAAATACTTCTCGAAGTGGGCTATTAATATGAGGTCATAAAAATCACATGCATAATTATAAAAATCTAAAAGTTTTTGATAGTTGTGATACTGCATGACTATCACGTCAGCTACCCAGTAACTGCCTGATGATATTTTCAAAATAACTGAAAATGTTTTCTTTATAAAAATAAAGAAATAAATAACGTAATTTCACATAAACCTGAGGTGAACCAAATTACCAGAAGGCTCCAGTATATGGCAGAATGTGACTCATTTGTTGTTAAATTGTCCTGGCCTCAACTTACAAACCACAAAACTCCTAGAAACAACTAATGAAATTATTTAATGTAAAACTTCACTTCATGTTTAAGCAGTATCACAGCCACTATACAACAAGAAGAATCTGATTCACTTTTATTTGGTATTTTTTACATCGATTAGTATTGGCGGTTACAGTAGTTTCATGTAAAACCATGTTCACAGTGGGGCACATTGGAGGCAGAGCATATGGAAATGAAAATATTTCCCATGAGCACTCTCACACACGCACCTTATCAAGACCACAAGTCGTCTTCCAGAGGTTTTGCCCGTTCTCTTATACTTTCTCTCATCTGACAACAGAAACTTTTAAAAGATAAATGAAAAAAGTAAAACAACCCCACCGAAAAGATTTTAGAATCCAAGACTCGAGATTCCAAAGGGCGTCTAAGAGAATCTGCCCAGTAATAGTTTGTATATTATAAATCCATATATCTTTGTGAAAACATAAAGGTAAATATGCAATGAAGAATCCTTCAATTCTGAACTGCAGCCAAAGAAATGTTCAGTTAAACTAGAACAACCTAACATCTTACAGAAAATATCCACACACTAACACGCTTCTCACGAAAGATTAGCAAAACCTGAATATATATATATATATATATATATATATATATATAGTCAGCGTAGATTTGATCAAACACTTTAAATGATTCTCATACGTAACTGAAATGTGAAATACTAATGATTATCTATCACAACAAATCCAACAGTGGCGACTCGCACGTTTTCCTGTGAACAAAGTGATTCAGCCATGTGCTACATTAATAGCCGTGGCGTGAACGTCTGGCATTTTACAATAAAGGCACTGAATTTTCAATAAGCACAAGGACAAAGGGGGACTAACTAATCTCAAAGTCCTCTAGCGTGTCAGCGAAAACAAAGAATGAACCACTGAACCGCGCACTCCTCTCTGATCTCCTCGTGTATCGGGGCATTCGATCCATCATGCAGATGCGTGGCTGTGTATTCGACACAGCTGCCGTAGTTCCTCGCGGCTGCCACAGGGAAGGTGTGGGTCTCGTCCAGAGCGGAGTGGCTGCTCAAGATGTGATGACTTGGACGTAGTTAGCAGGGTAGAGGCCTATTTCTCCGCTGACCAGCTGTCCTTTACACCAGCCCTGCTCGTCCTCCTCACCCAGCCTCATTAACTCTTCACCTGTACGACACAAACATGTGTTTCATAATACCATGCCTTCCTTTTTAATGAGACATATGCATGGGATAATATAAAACCAGTTATAACCACAAAATCAGTATAGCAGCAGCCCTGCTATACATAGTAGTAAACATATGAAGTGGATCAAAAAAAGTTGGTTTTAGGTTTTGCTCCACTTCAAATGTTGACTAGTGTATATAACCAGATATAACAAACGTTGTACATAGGACGGTCACTGTGATTTTGCCAAGATAAACATGTTCCTGGATCAACGATATAGACCTAAAACTATCCCTACCTATAACTTAACCCTAAAATCAGAGGGAAATGATGGTTGAATAACAAGAATGGACATTTCCTGTTAACTTATCCCTCAATTCTGATTGGTTGATTGGAATGTTGATCCAGGAACATGTTGCACTTGCTGAAATCACATTCACCTACATGGGACAATGACGCCTCAGCCCCCTTCAAAGGTGATTTTAATTTTAGTGATGCATGGGCAGGCGTTTTTGTTTTAGTCATATTGCATCTCTCATAATTTTCATATTACATGGCTCTGTACCATACTGTATTATAAATGGAGATTTGTTTAACTGCTAGAAGTCAATATTAAATTATATGCTCACACATTTCCACTATTTTTACATTTATATTTTATTTATATACATTTGCAATCATACTTTATTAATAGTTTAACTTAATCTTTAAACAAATCTTAAAATGAATTTGCATATTTCATAATGCATATTGCATATTACCACCATTCAATGTTTGATTTTTTTTTAATTCAGCAAGGATGCATTAAATTAATCAGATGTTAGGCAGTGTAGACGTTTATAATTTTACAAAATATTTCCATTTCATATAAATGCAACAGTTGCTAGTCATCAAACAATCATGTAAAAAGTATTACCGTTTAAATAAAATATTAGGCAGCACAACAGTTTTCAACACTGATAATAATAATAAGAAATATTTCTTGTGCAGCAAATTAGAGCATATTAAAATGATTTCTGAAGGATCATGTGACACTGAAGACTGGTGTAATGATGCTTTCCCATCACAGGAATAAATTACACTTTAAAATACACTCAAACAGTTATTTGGAATTGTATTAACATTTCAAAATATTAATTAAATATTAAAAAACAGTGGGGTACATTATAATGTTATAATGTGTTATATTTAGCACTCTTTTTTTTTTAAACAAAATTTAAAATTGTTCAATAAAATTTTACCATCGGACATTTAAGGGTTTATACAGTAATGAAAATAACTACAGGCTTACTGAGACTGGACAGGATAAAAGCAGGAAATGATCAGCGTGTTTCTCAGAGAAGGGACAGAGCGGTGTGGAATAAAGGTAAATTATGTGAAAAAAAAAAAAATTTAAACAAAGAATTAATGACAGAAAAACACAGTGTACCATTAAGTTCCTACAAGAACTATAAATCGTTCCCTTTAAAATCTTTTTTTTTTTTTAAGTAGGTTTTACAAAAAACCTTAATATGTCACATTTAATTCAATGTTACTTGTCAATTTTCTGTAATTATTTGTGAAATTTGCTATAATTTTCAGAGTGAAAATTGTTTTAAAGTAAATCCTACTATTTTTTTTTCATTGTTCCTCCAGCAAGAGGCAGTTGAATATTAAAGTTCCCTGAATACATGCTAGAATATTTCAGGCATTTTCATTTTTAAGAGTGTAGGTGCATAGAGATAAATTGAGCTTGAAACCTGGTTTATGCTTGATGTGTCTGTACAGGCATGAGGGTGTGTGAAACAACAAAAGTGACATCAATGCAGCGCTTGCGAAACTGTATGTTGACTCTGCAAGGCTTGACTTCACAGTCATGCACATCCCAGTCTGGAGCCATTTGGCTGGAGCGATCATTAGGAATTCACTAATATTAAAGGGGTGGTTCACTGGTTTTTTTCTAGGCTTGATTGTGTTTATGCGGTGCAGTCTAACATGTTAAAGAAAGTTTAACACATAAGGAATATATAATACTGAACTGAAAACATTAGCTTTAGCATCATGCTACATCCACACCACTAGGTGTCAGTATAAATCCAAAATGACTGCTATTGGGCAATGCAACAAATACTGAGTACACCTTTAAATCTACTTGAGTGAAAAAAAATTAACTTCAGTAAATGACCACCAGGTGTCACTCTTGGCATGTCTTCTATTGCACATTTTTTCTTAGAGCTGCTGGCTGGCATGGATTTTGGCAGTGTCTTGCCTTTATAAATAATCTGAATGTATCCTTTAAGCTTTATATAATATTTAAGGCATGCATGCTGATTTAAAAACCCTCTAGGTGGATCCTGGGACCTGCTCATCTATCCAGTTAAGCTCTTCTCTAGCAAACAAGACCAAATGAGATCGTTTCATTATTCTTGCCCTGGTCATTTAGTTCTGACCTTGAGATTTGATTTACCCTCATTCTACATTACTTCACAGCTTCCTGCAGCACAGACACTAATGCTAAATATCTTTGGTCTGCTGGCTAGATTAAAGTCAGTCGTCACCTAAACTCAGACTAAGCTGGATCCAAAAGACCTCGAGCCAATCAGAATGGAGGGCTCTGCTTTAACACTGTCCTAACTGATGCCATTTAGTGACTTTTGGGAAGCCTTTGAATTCAGATCATTCATTACATGCAGGGATCAGCTGATCACCCATAGAAACTTTAGATTTATTAGGAAGCCTGATGTGAACTTTACTCTGAAGCGAAAACTGGGAAACGATAAAAACAAGGTTGTGAATTAGATTCCTTTTCCACTGGAAGCAAACGTTTTTGTTACAAGTGTAACAGCTCAGATCAGCTTAATATAAGTGTTTAATTTCTTTGCCCATTTTGTTTTGTTGCTTTTATTTTTGAAATTTCTAGCACAGCCATATTGGAAAGGAATACATTTGTGTTTTGTGTCAGTTCACTAGTTCCAAAGCAGTTTCATGGGTTTTGTCTAAATGTGAGGAAGCAGTCTCAAATAAACCCATGTAACATGTAGGGTTTAATCACACACATGCTTAGATTGACAATCCCCATTTCATTTCATCCTTTCCACAATGCCTTTTGAAATAACTGCACTACCATGCACAGCAAGGCATTGAAAGAGCAAAGAAAAGGGGTTTGATGAATCCACAAGCCGCAGCCATGTGTATGTTCATGTGTGTGGCATTAATAAGCATTAGTAGGGATTAATACCTGCTTTAAAGCTCAGCTCATCAGCCTCCTGCCCAGTGTAATCATACAGCGCTTTAACGTGAACCCCGACTACCTTCTCCTCCTCGTCCACCCCGTTGGCTGCGATGTATTTTTTGGGGCTCTCTTCATCAGACCAGTCCGAGGAGTAGTCTTTACCCTCCCTGTTTGAAAAGAAAAGGAATTAGAAAACTGAACAAACTCACGGACAAATCATTTTAATAGAAAGTGGAAGATTAATAACTTGGTAATCAGGTGATCGGTACGGAAGTTCTAAGCGGCCATGCATGATTTTTTTTTTCCCTTCTTGTTTTCTCGTTATAACGACTTATTTTCTCGTTATATCGACATAACGAGAGTTGTTTTCTCGTTATAACGACTTAATTTTCTCGTTATATCGACATAACGAGAGTTGTTTTCTCGTTATAACGACTTAATTTTCTCGTTATATCGACATAACGAGAGTTGTTTTCTCGTTATAACGACTTAATTTTCTCGTTATATCGACATAACGAGAGTTGTTTTCTCGTTATAACGACTGAGAAAATTAAGTCGTTATAACGAGAAAGCAACTCTCGTTATGTCGATATAATGAGAAAATTAAGTCGTTATAACGAGAAAACAACTCTCGTTATGTCGATATAACGAGAAAATTAAGTCGTTATAACGAGAAAACAACTCTCGTTATGTCGATATAACGAGAAAGTAAGTCGTTATAACGAGAAAACAAGAAGGAAAAAAAATTTAATGCATGGCCGCTTAGAACTTCCGTAGATCGGTGATAGTTCAGCTAAAAACATTTGAAATGTTTCAAATTTATAGAAGGAATTCAATTTTTATTATCTGTGGCATGCTGTGGATTATCACAGAAACTAATTTTAATGTCCTTCAAAAAACACATTCCAGTCATGCGCAAACAGTTGAAGTATATTTTGGTTAGCGTATGCACACAATGCACATGATGCAAATTTTATCCAGCTCATGACTGAATTGGTGAGTGGAAGTGGAAGATCAGGGTTGCCAGGTCTGCGTAACAAAACCAGCCCAATTGGTACTCAAAACTAGCTCGATAGACCCTTCACAAAAACCCAGCCCCTTCGTTATTGTTGCTATGTCCGTCAAGCCATGGTGCTCTCACGCTACATCATGTTCTCACGCAGTGAAAAATAAGTCACAGAGCAAAGAGAAAACTGACAATGCACCGACAGACAAGACAAAGCAGGTTACTTTTGGTATGAAACAAAGACTCCGCTTTCAAAATTAGTTGTTTTTAAACAATAAATAACGTTTTGTGTCGTGACATCACTGTAGCACTTCAGTTCAAGCGGCATGTAGTCTCTCGTAGCCAGACCTTCAGACTGACGGCTGAAGGTCTGGAATCCATGGCAGCTTTCATTGGTCAAGGCCCGCCCATGAGGCCGTTTGACCGACATGTCAAACAAACAATCACAGTTCGTTTCGTTCATCGTCACGTTTCGGGGTGTGGAAATGTTGCCACAATAACAGACTGTAAAAGTGTAAAACTCTCGGATGTATTTTAAAGATTCTATGCGCAAACTTAAATTTTTTCACATACTTTTGAAAATCCTTGGTGTCTCAATTGTCCTTTTAGTGGTGGAACTACTTTTCCAGGTGGATTAACTTCTTGTTATGCATCTCCAACATATTTCCACTGGGTGGATTTCGCTGTACATAAACTATGTGGTATCCACATGTAACACGGTTTAAGATTCGTGACAATACTTTCAAAACTGTGTAAAGTTTATCTCTGTGTAACGTCTTGCCCCACAGATGCTGTCAATAGAGCTCAACTTGTACTGAACCTGGAACATTCCTTCAATATTTACTCAAAGAAAAATAAGTGTAAAGCAGTACTAGAAACAAGGCTACATATTGATTTTTCAGGAGCAAATAAAGGAGACTGCAAGGAGCAAATAAAAGGTGTAATCGTTAAAAACTTGACTTAAGCATACTGCTCTGAACAATTTTTAGCTTGGAACTAATGTTCACAAATGATTATCTCTCACAAGGGACTGGGATCAAATGGGTTAATTTGATTCATCTTAATAGCAACAACAACAACAAAAACTACATAATGCTAATAGATCTCAAATTGTTCTTGTCTTGAAGATATAGTTAGCTCTGTTCCACAACCTAGTGAGCTACCTTGCTATTTGCTGCCTACATAGGAAATGGAACCTCAAACATGCTTAATTTAGAGAAGTTTGGTTCACACATCAAGTGAAATCAGTGAGACTAAAACGTCTTGGCTTATCAAAATGACTGATGAAGAAAAATAAAAATCGACAGTCCAAGCATCCATATTACTGACCCATTTATCTGTTGTAGCTTATCCACTTTGCATTCACAAAATAGCCACTGACACAGTCAATAGGTGCCGTCTGAGAAGTGCTAATTGAATGTCACAATTTTACTCCATGATTTTGGCCCTCCAGAACCATTTCCGCCAAAACCAAAGATACATTTCTGACTGAATCTTTTCGGTTGCCGGAGTTTGTGTATCACTACTGCTTAACATTGCTGCCTACTTTTGTAACAACTAGGGATGCACTGATACCGATACTGGTCTCCTGTACTCGTACTCGTTAAAATGCCCCGATACCACACAGCATGTGATAAGCGCCATATTCAAACAAAGAAACACGGACAACAGAACAGCAGAAAGGAGTTAAGGATGTCTACTATGAAGTATATGTATGCAATCAGGGTTTGAAATTAACATCCGCCAACTCGCCAAATGCGGGTAAAAATCAGCTGTGTCGGGTAACGCTGTCAAATCACTAGCCAATTTGGTGGGTTACTTTTCGTAAGTTATGTTCACTCATTAATTTTTTGAGGAAGTTCATGCAAGCCAAATCTGCGCAGGTATAGCGCAAATACTGAACTCGTGAGACATCACATTATCAAGTATATTGCAAAAAACTAAACAAAACACACCTACAGAGGCACACATACGCAACGAGATGAAGTCTGGTTAGACCAACACAGGCTTTAGTGCGCGTGCCCATTTAGAGTGCGTTCTTCCACTGCATGATTTAGTCTATTAATATGCATTAACAATGATCACATACTTCAAGATAAGGAGGCAGAAAATGTATATATTTATATCAATTCATATAGTTAATCATATCACACGAATAGCGTGGTTTTTTTCTTAAAAATCAGCATGGTTACAAATGTGATATTGATTTTATACAACAGTTCAATAAACAATAAGTTAATATTGGCTGTTTTTGCGCTATTTCGCAAAATACATTCCAAACACAGCCACAGCACTGTTTTGTGTCTGAGCAACATGACGGTGTTTTGTTCCTGAATTAATCAACCGTTTAAATTATTCGGTTCAGTCGCAATGACTCACTTATTAACAGTGACGTGCTGCCACCAACAGGCAGTTTTAATTTCACATTTAAAGTATCTTTTATTTTTTAAATAATTTCAAATATCAGTATTCAACATTTCATGTTTAAATATCAAAACATTATTGATGCATTTGTAACTGCAGGTTAAAGCATTCCATGTCCCTCTGAGCTGCATTGTGTAAATACATCCAAATGCCACTTAATATTCAACTTCTGCAAAGATGCATTTTATTGATACTGATTTAATTTGTTAAGCCTAAACAGCCTAAATGTATTATTATTATAATTGACTGATTAAATGTAAGAATTTGACTCAAAAGATGATGTACACTTTTAGAAAAAAAAGGCTTTATAAAAGTAAAAATGCCCATAAAAGGTACAAATCAATTTAAACTTATTGGAAAAGATTAATTTCTATCACTGCTGTGAACTGACCACACAGAATATGAAGAATATCAAAAACTTTAGGATTCAGCTGTCCACGGTAGTCCTTAAGATATCAGCACAATAACACACTCAGCAAAATATTGTCTAATTATCTTTATCGATAAAATCCCAGAAAATATTGAGATATATCACCTAGTACTGACACAAAATGATTTGCAATGGTTTCTTTGCCACGCCCAGTGTAGACAGCCTCAAACCGTTTTTTTTGGCTAGTAGAAGTTATGAATGGCCTGTAACTTAAAAATGTAGTAGCCAAATTGGCTGGGGAGGGCAAAAGTTAATTTCAATCCCTGTAT